GATAGAATACAGTTCACCGCGTCTGAGAAGGATCGAGCAGCAGAAGTGCTCACATAGGCCATCTTGGCTTCGGTGGACGCTCACGAGTCTCCCACACAGAGCGGACCGTATGTAGAGCAAGACGCCATCGGGGGCATCCGATAGCCTATCACAGCGGAAGCACGAGTAGCCACTAAGCTCAACTTCCTGGGTGAGTACCTCATCGTTCAACCACGTCTCTGCGAGTCCCATTACATCTGGTCGCTCGAAAGCAACGAAACGGCACAGCTCATCGCGCTTGTTCATAAGACTGCAGATGTTAGTACAGGCTACACGCAGGCTGTGACAAGAACTATCGGGCAAGCCAGAGGTGTGAGCGACGGATTTAGCAGAATTCGCGTTCGTGTTGTAATCACCCAAGAATTTACAATACGTAGATTTGTTTCTCCCTCACCACTTCGCCGCTTTACCTCGATGATAGCACACTACAGCGCTCGATCGATATCCGGACAAATATGCACCCTATCGCCTCACAGTCTACTCAACCGGGACAGGCTCACCTCGTCGACAAAAGTTACACGCATGGGTCGGTCTTTCTCAGCACTGTTCTCTCCGTGGCGGATTACTTGTTTCACTTTCACTCCGTTCTCGTTCACATCGAAGAGCCTATCAACGAGGTTCTGTAGAAACTCTAAGTCATGATCAGAGTGTGCCTGAGGACTTGAGTCGTAGGACACAGGCGCGTGAAAGAGCATCAGATTTAACCGCCCTATAATTCAAAGTGGTTCCTGCGGGAGAAGGGTGGACTCGAGCTTTGCCTGTTGTTGGTCAGAAGTAGGAAGCTTTTCTTCCTTTCGCGGCTTCTACCGTCGTTGAGTTTTCTATGGCTCCTCATGCATTGGACATTCGTTTGTGTCATAAGAGCTAACGGAGCGCAAAGTTAGTGGACCATAAGCCTCAGTTGATGTCGTGTCTCCGGAAACTTCAGGATGGCGAGGTACTGAGTTGTCAGAGGGAGTTGAATGGGAGAAAGGCTGCGTTGAATCTTGGATGGATTCTAGGCTACTGTGCAGGACGGTAACACTAGAACTGCTCATGCTTAAAGGTCTTTGGTCGACAGTTGCATAGGTAGACGTTATACGTTTCTCTGCCTGCCTTAGACTGCGACATTCGTTGCACAAAATTTGGATGAAATCATGTTGAATAGAACGCAGAAGACGAAAGGAATCAGCAGGTAATCCAACACACGAAATATCAGATCTTGTGCAACGATCAAAGAACGTGAGGAGATTTACCATATGCCTAACAATTTTCGAGCAAGAACCATAGGGCGATTCCTTCGGCATTTTGAAAAAAATGATGCGAATCGAGCTAAAATGTTAAAGTTGAATTTGCCAAACGTAACCACGAAATTTATGGAAAGATACCACATAAAATATGATCCAGAAATTACAGATTCATTAACCAAATCGAACGCTTCCGAAATTTAGACAAAATAATTCCAACATTTCGGTAAATCCACAACAACAGCCACGGAAAGGTTGGCGGAAACATCGAGTGAGCAATGAGCGTGTTCGACGCTTAGTTTATGGTACGAGAATAGGAAACGAACCACCCAGTAACATTATTTCACGCACCAGGCTCTGATGGCTGGACCACATGTTACGCATGCTAGCCCACCGACTCCCGCAGTGTGTTGTTGGCGCACCTTGCATGTGGATGGAAAAAGAGGGGTGGCCAACCGATGAATTAGTCAATAGGAATGAAAGCACTTAGTTTGAAGTTGGCCTCGGTTGGAGTCTCTCGGCTCCCTGGTTCGGGTCCGAAAGACGATGAACACGTTTGGCTGGATACACTTGTTTACATGGGTAGGAGCAAACATAAGTGGCACTTGTGTAGTGAATTTCACTGCCCCTGCCACTGTCGCTTAGTCCCCGCTTCAACCACGGTCTCATTTCATAGCATTTTAACAATTTTGAATGATATAATTTTTTGTGGCACGATACCGGCTGGTAGGTTTATGGAACGACGCTCATCCGTTACTGGTGTGTCAGCTGGCGTGCCTCGGTTGCAGCTTTTTCTTGTTTTCTTATGCACTGCGCCACAATAGCTGAGGCGTTTTTGACCTTTTGCTTACGTGTATAATGAACGACCCCAATTAATCTCTGGTTGTGAGTGATATACCCTTGTACTTCATATGCTATCATCAGTGACTGCGTGATTTACTGATGCATTTCCGTTGAAATTAAATTTTCTTATCATTATTAAGCCCTATCCGATACATCTAGTGTATAATCGTCACAATGTAAAAGTTTAAGTCTGACAACAACTATCGAAAAGAATCATTTACTCAGTATCTTCCTCACTTTGATTCATTCTATTAAATGGGAATTGTTGAAGGTTAGCATTCCAAGTGATTCAACCTGACACACTGTTCCATTACTTCACCAGACAGTTGAAGCCTAGATGATGAGCTGTCCGCTTCAGATCCAATACTATAAGCTTGTACCGGTGCCCCTGTGGTGCGCGCACGTGCAGCAACGATTTTTAGCAGGGAGGTCACCAAGATATAATACCTAGTGAGTCAATATGTGGCCAACTGGAAACAGTAGTCTCTTGCATAGAATGTAATAGAACTCGTGGGCCGGGGATAGGTCTAGTAGCGTCATGGTGAATACGTCCCAGTCTCTGCACGTCACCGTGGGTGATAGGACAATAGACGTGCAAGAAGTACTCTAATGCGGTTACTACGAGAGAAGGTGAGTGGTAATCTCTGCTGACCAATTGCAAAAGCTACATTTGAGCGCCTAAGTAGGTAAGCTCCGTATCCGCAAACTCTATTCGTGTTGTACACGGATTTCAAAGCGTAGTATGTAGTACGCCTGGGCATTTCACGGAAGGTGTGGCAGTTGGCCGGCTAGAATGTACATGCGCCCACCAAGACCCTTCCCAAGGCTCTTAAATAATGACTTGATCGGGATGGCTGATAGGCACCATTGCAGTCAACTTGGAGAGGCGGTTGTGGTCAAGATAAAGCACGTCACAATCGTCAGGAGCATTCAAGACAATCGGGTAAGTCGGAAGAGCTCGTAGATGTAGAACAGGAACAAAACTTGACTTATTGCTGATTTGAGATAGCCCACTAGAAGTGGGATAGCAGCCAGCCAAATGATAATCCTATAATATAAGGAAAAAGGAACAACCTCAAACTTTGATATTGTGATGCTTTACCAGCTTGCTATGTTCGGACACGCTATTGGCGACGAAGCCAAAGGAGTACTTGAGACTTTGGATCTCAGTGAAGCGGAGGAGCAGGAGTCGGATATCTGGGAGATAATCAAGAGATTTGGCGAATATTGCAGTCAAGCAAATGAAACGTACCAAAGACTTCTGTCTTTTGGTCGCAATCGCCTGCCGGATGAGTCAGTCGAGACCTACATTACAGAATTGTAAGTTCTGGCCCGAACGTGCAACTTCTGTAACTGTATGCGGAACTCGCTGGTACGCGACCGCATCGTAAATGACGACTTTACTCGACGCCTTCAGAGGCAGAAAAACCTGTCCCTAAATCAGTGTGTGGATATGTGCCTTAGCGAAATAAGAACATCAGGACAGTTCCAGAATTTGTGGGCAAGCACGATAGAAGGACTTTGTACAGTATCGAAGAGCAAAAATGGCCTATTCCTGCCATCCGAGGAGCAGGAGGTCAGCTGTCATTTTTGTGATCGGAAGCATCCAAGAAGAAAGGAGAGTTGTCCAGCTTGGGGCAAGACCTGTATGAAGTGTACAAAGAAAAACCATTTCGCTTGTTGTTGCAGATGTGCCGACATCAGCGCGGTAGACAAGGAAAGCCAACACGACACATAGAAACTCTCAAGAAACAACATGGAGACAGAGGAAAAGAAGCTGACGCGCCGAACCCCACTCGCTTTTGGTGGACAGGTGTTACTCCCACTGCCGACTGCTCTACAGATGACGGAAATCAAGTTACCTGACAACTGGAAAACGTGGAAAGCGAATTGGATGGAATTCGCAGCGTTGATCAAGTTGGATGGATATCCCAGGATATACCAGATGGCCATGTTACGATACGCTATCGGTAATGAAGCGTGCCGTATAATGGAGGCGTGGAACTTCTGTGACCATGATGGAGTGATGGATCTTTCTCAAATAATCGAGAGAGTTGAGAACTATTGTGATGGTCGACTAACCCTTCTCCCTAGTTGCGGCCGGTTGGTCGATGCCTGCCCAGCGGATAGTGAATGTCAGCAAGCAACGATGGATTCAACAATTAAGTACTCAGACGGCCTTAGGGAACAAAAGTGCGTCTTTTCAACGCCGCTGACAAAGACGGCCAGCATCATCACAGTCTGATCTAAGAACCACTGACAGCACGCTACCCTCGGAGAACTGCATCAGAATAGAGTGCAATACAACAGACAGTCGCTTCAAAGGGTAGGACAGACGGAGGCTGCAGGCACAAGGAAACGTTGTCATAAAAACTGAAAAGAAAATAAGGAAACGAATTCTCAGTATCAAAGAGCCGAATGAGGATCCTCGCCTGAAGATACTCGGGGAAAGAAAAGCGCTATCTACCGAGATCGGACAAGTTCGATTCAGGGTTTCTTCAGTCGGAGGCGAAGGAAGTTGATGATAGCAGTTAAGGTTCTAATGCAGCCTAGTATTACTACGAGTGTCATTCCTTTAGACCGGAAGCTTGCCCGCAGTGGACGAGGATATGGCAAATGCAACATAAAAACTACGAAAAAAATGAAGAATGTGATGGTGGTTGAAACTGAGGGCGAGAGCAATCGTCTGTCTCAGTGCGGTCGATCAGGTGATGGGTCGAGTGAGTTCTTAAACACCCAGCTAATTGCACAGAACCTCAGAATTGTGAATAGAATGCTAGTGCGATGAGCCGGTGTGTCTTGTTTCTCTTGATGCGGCTGGAAAACCCAGGCACGTAATAGATATCAGTGTGCGAATGGAGCTCCGTCTAGCATAAATAAGAAGAAAGATGTTTGATGATATAATGTATCCAAGTGTATAAGATAAAAAAATCAATTAACGAGAGAACAAAATCTCATGTGCGTGACAAAATCGACCCGGATGAACGGGCACCAAGTAGGAGGCGCTGTAAGCGATGGGTTCGTAAAAGGGACAACAATGTTGGGTTTGACGCACCGAGTGATCGGCTAAAACAGCCGTTTCTCATAGCTGCAAAAAAGGGACGAGGATCAGCGTGTTTACATCAGCACAGATGGAAATGAGTTAAAATCATGATTAGAAACAAGCGATCGGGGGCTCGTGAAGCAAAACCACCATGACAGACACTATACTCATTAAAACTGAAGCTAGTGCCTTTGAACGGTGTTCGTTTAGATTTATCAGCTCGCTGTTTGTGGTGTGGGAAAATAATCGGACAGCAGGGTATGTAACCCTGGTAAGTAGTGAATAAAAGAAGATAGCATCCCGCAAAAGTCACGCATAGGTAGGATTAGTTGTAATAATAGCGAAAGTTACATTTTAAAATGAGGGAAAAGGAGACCAGTAGGAGTCAGGGAGAGCAATTGAGAACACTGAAAGGAAAAGCCTCGAACTAAAACTGTACACTAGCAATTCACCGTAAACGGGTATTGCGATAAGCCCGAGCTGGCGAGCAGTTACAGGTAAGGTAACAGTCACGGTAAGAAAAAAAGAGAAAAGAACGATGCTTGAGCAAAAATAAAGCTGCCTACAAAATCAGGGGACAACATGCGGATGCAAACTTCTTCGCTATCGACTCATCTCAACGGCATTATCTAAGGCGGTAAAAACATGTGTGAATTATACAAAGGTTGTATGTGGTCAGCCTTTGGCATATTCTCGCAGGTCTCTACAATCCCAAAATGGAGATGGTCTTGTATCCTACTGCCTTGTAAGACAGAGTGGAGTCGAAGGCTAGGGAAGCAAACCTGCATTTCATAATAAAAAACCCCACACGAAAAAGCAAGTACTGGTGTCTTACTCGATGAAATTTTCTCTCAATTGTGTTTCTCCACTTTCAAGGTTGACGAAAGAGGGCCCCAGATTCTGCCTGCCAGAAACCAATAAAATTTGCAAATGACCTTTCAAAACCCGTAATCTTAGTCAGATCCCGCAGAAAAGCTCGGTTGTAGATTTGAGCTCCCTCGGAGTTGATGTGCACAACGCATGCGAAACAACTAGTGTTGCCCGTAGCCAACGATCACCTCATTCATATTCCAGTGGAAATGACCAAGGTGCGTGAGTTTATGATGATGGTGAGCGTGCGGTTTGAGTTAATTACGGTGGCCATTTAATGTGCAGTAAAAGCGTATAATGCGGTTTGACTGCTTTTGTGTAAGTTGATTTTACGGCTCGACTGTTTGAGCAGGGTGAATTTAGGTATAGTTTAACAAGTGCACATTCCATATCCTCTCCCCGGAGACTATCAAGGGGACGTAGTAGACGAATAAAAAACTATCAAAGTGCCCAGATTAGGGTTATGGCTGTGATTGCTGGTGACATGAAGTCCGTATGGATTTTATGTCACAGTAAAAACTATCGAAGCGGTCTGAATTAGGTGCACGTCGCAGTGCCAATTGCGTCAATTGATTCAGCTGTGGCCGATGAAAATCTGTAAGGGCTTTTCGGCATAAGTATACACATCACTTTTTCTTGAGCCCAAATAATAATAAGATACCATAAATGTAGACCGACAATAGCCCCAACTACGGTTCGAGACAGTCAGACGGTGCAAAGCTTTTGCCTGGATCTCGACGGTGTCCTGCCGCGCGCTCGCACAGAGATCACATCCCTAGCTTCAGTGTTACGTCCGACGTGCCGGCCGCTAACCAGTGACCCAAACACAACTCGACGCGCCGGGTAAGTTGCACGAGGAAGGCGTCCGAAGCCGCATATAAATGGTGGAGTTGTTCGATCTCTATCTCCTCATACACTTCACTTTCGAACGTCAGACCTACGGACCTAGTATAGGCACACTAATAAAATCGTCAATCTCCAGATTGACTGCCCATGCAGTGAGTAAATCATAAGAAGAAAAAGCACTGCCCATTGCAGAGCCCAAACTTCGGATACGTTTCGTGGAGTATACTTTGCCGGCCTCAAACACTCCAAGTTTTAAGATACACATAAGCTAGTTAACAATATTTTCACTAGCACCCAATTCAACAGAGAGGAGAGTAATAACCAGTTGCTATTTTCGGACAGGAATGCTGCTGGGCCGCTGAGAACAACTGTCTATCGGAAAGCGACGTACACCACCTAAATCATGAACTACCGAAGAAACTATCTAACAATCACAAGGACAGCTGCGTAAGAACTCTTTTCATATGGACCCCAACCACATTGCTCAACACCACAACTGAGGAAGGCGGAAGAGTGCCATTTATTACCAGTGCCTCATCATCATTATACACGTTAGCTAGAGGTGGGAAACACCTCAGCTACTGTGCCGCAATACATAAAAAAGGAAACAAATACAACAGTTGCATGCCAGCTGAGCTACCAGCAACGGATGGGCATCGTTCTGGTAAGCCGCCAGCCGATTAATAGGCAACGAGAAAAATTATTATGTAAAATTACATTATGCTACGAAATGAGATGGTGGTTGGAGGGGGAAGCTAAAAGGAATGGGGAGGGATAAAGAAACTCACAGCAGGAAAACCACTGAAATCGGCTCCTAGCCATGTCAGCAAGTGTATCTAGCCAAACGTGTTCCTCGTCTTTTGGTCCCCAAGCAGGGAGCCGTGAAGCTCCAACCGAGGCCAGCTCCGAAGTGAGGGCCTTCATTCCTCTCGACCAAAGCATCGTTTGGCCATCCCTAATCTTCTTCCATCCACACCCCTGGTGAACAAACAACGCACGTCGCGAAAGTCGGTAGGCTGGCATGTGCAACACGTGGCCTAGCTATCGGAGCCTAGTGGTGAAATGACGGTGCTGAGCAGTTCAGTTCCTTTTCCTGGGCCGTAAATAAGGTGTCGAACATGCTCGTTACTCACGCGGTGTTCCCACCAGATGTGAGCCAAACTGCGAAGACACCGATGATCGAACGTAACTAGCCGCTTCAGGTCCGCTGATCTTAGGGGCCAGGTTTCGCAACCGTACAGTAAGGTCGAACGTACCGCTGCATTGTACACTCTACCCTTCAGGGCAAGAGTGATGTCGCGCCGCCGCCATAGGTGGTGAAGGCTAGCAAAAGCACTCCGAGCATTTGATATACAGTTCGTGATCTCATCTTCAATCCCAAGGGCACTGATATAACTTCCCAGGTAGTTGAATTTCTGAACGACTTCTAACTGATCCATACCAAGGGTCAGTGCAGGAGGCGATCCCTGCCAATCTTGGAGGAAAGCTTTGCAGTTCGATGGTGCAAAGCAGGAAGCGGCTGACAGCCAGTGCTCATCCGTCCAGTAAAGCTTGGCACGTCTGGGAGCTGTCACAGATTAGGGCAATATCATCAGCATACTCTAACTCAAGAAGTCGTTCTCCTGGGAGTAGCCCCACACCTTCTAAGTCGTGTCCTGTAAATGCAATCCCCATGACTTCGTCAATAACGAAGTTGAAGAAAAAAGGTGACAACGGGCATCCTTGTCTCACGCCGCTGGAGATATTGAAGGGTGGCGACAGCTTGCCGTAAGCTCTCCCTCTGACCGTACTACGGGCGTATAATGCTCGGATAATATTTACATATTTCTCGGGTACACCTTTCCTGAGTAAACAATTCCAAATGGCACATCGATCAACCGAATCGAAGGCACCTTTGATATCGAGGAACACGACTTCAGTGGGCCGCCAATGTGTGTGACGGTCCTCCAACAATTTTCGCCAAGTGAAGATGTGGTCAATGCAGCCACAACCTCGGCGAAACCCGGCTTGCACCTCACGATTCTGGCTTTCACGAGCGCCAGTCAGTCTGTGAAGGATTACGGAGGCAAATAATTTGGAGGCGATGAAGATCAGATTGATTCCTTTATGGTTGCCGCATACTGAACGCGAGCCTCCTTTGAAGATAGGAACAATAACGGAGCGGCTCCAGTCGGTTGGGACAGTTTCCTGCTCCCAAGTTTTCACTAGTAATTCATGTAAACCATAAACAAAAGCAGGGCAACCGAATTTGAAGAGGGCTGGAGGACGACCATCTGGTCCCGCGGCTTTGTTCAACTTCAACAGTTCGATCTCACGTTCGACTTCTGAGCGAGAGGGTGGATCCAAAGGGACAGCCAACGGAGCAGGGCGATCACTGGTCGGTGAGGAATCTAACAATTCTGGCCGATTAAAGTGGTTTTCAAAATGCTCATCCCAACACTCCAAGCGTTTTGACAAATTATGGATAGGCTGTCCACTATCGTCACAAATTGTTTCACTAACACCAGATCTCCTAATGCCCGTTTCCCGTATCAGACGGAATAACTTACGATGGCTACCAAGGGCAGCAGCCACTTCCATCTCTGACGCACGAAGAGACCACCAAGATTCGCGGTATCTCCTCAGGCTAGCACGGAGTTTTGCCCGGAGCTCTTTGCGAGTTTCATTGTGTTCGCTTCCAGCCGGAATATGCCGGTAAGCATCGATAAGTTCCAGAGACTGCAAAGAGATCCAATGTCCAGGTTGGCTATTAGACTTACCACATGAGGATTTGCCTGCTGCTAGTAAGGTCTGGTGAATATGAGACCAGTGAGCTTCAACTGCATCCAGTCAGCGCTTACTCAACTCCCATGTCAGCGTACTTTGATAGGCGTTCAGAACAGCTGGCTTTGTCAGTTGGCTGGTGTCAATGTGAGTTGAAACGAGTAGGTAAAAGCCTAGCAAAGCAAGGTAAGGGAGGGCCAAGAATTGGGGGGTTGAAAACAGGGGGGGATAAAAGTGAGGCTGGAACGTGACGGTAAGATAAAAAAAGCGTAAGAGGGGGAATGAGAAGATGAAAAGGCTTGAGCGGTAGCATCCAAACCCCTATCCACCCTGCTCGATGCAGCAGATAGGGCACCGTTGATTATTCTCTGCGGTGGCCAGAGCAACAAGAAACTGTTTGAAGAGAAATTCATTGTATTGCGTGGGCAGGATACTGTCAGGTTTCCCAGGCCTAGACAAGAGAACGATTAGGGTTCTCAACCAAAGCCTTTGGTTGAAAAACCTGACGGCAAGGCAGCGGGTTTGGCGTTGGACTACAAGAAGTCTGTTTTAAGGAATAAGGAGTC